TTGTTCTGTTAGAAATGTAATACAATGGTCTGGTTGCTGATGACACGATAAATAATACTCACTTGGCCAAGCCTGAAGTAGGTAATGCAACACTTCAATATGGTTCTTGAAGTCCATGGTGCTGGTGATGGTGCGATGCTGCAGGCGGGGGCTGCGGGCCCCTGCCCCTCCTGCACCTTGGCTCAGCAATACGGGCCCGAAGCACACAGCGAGATTCTGAGCGTTCATGCGGTTTGAGGCATGGAAAGAGGCAACCAAGCTGAGGTGGTCCAGCAGCATGGTCAGGGTAGCCTAAAAAAATGGAAGCAAGCAACTTGTCTCAGCCCAACCTTTGCCAAATAGGTCTGACTTTGGCCCCAGGTTGGGCCTCATCTCAGAAGAATAGCAGCAAGATCAAGAAAAAATCCTGGTGGTTTGAAGGAACAAAGGCACCAGAAAATTTGGACCATCACTTTCAACCAGAAAACTGGAAGGACCCAATCCAGTTTGTCATTATTACAAATGATACAATCACCTAAATTTCGGTGCCTGGGGATGAATGGGCATGCAAGCAGCAGCAAGAACAGAGTGTATTGCTGTTCTTGTCTGCCCATTCTCCATGGGGGAAGCGAGTGCCATGTTGGAAGGGAATGGCTGCAGTTAAAAGTTTGAGGTTAGAAGGAAAGGGAAGACAGGTACCTTGGTCTGGCTTGATAGTTTTATTCTACCCTATGGGGCTAGGGCTGCCAAACAGGATACAGGATGTGATGACTGTAACTTTATCCTAAACAGATTGAGCAGCAGAACAATGTTTCTCAATCTGTTCGGGACAAAGGCCCCTTCCACGCAGCTGGCTAAAATCTACACTGAACTGGATTATATAGCAGTGCGGACTCAAGATATTGTGGATTATCTGCCTTGATTTTTTTTTCTTGTCAGGAGCGACTTGAGAAACTGCAAGTCGCTTCTGGTGTGAGAGAATTGGCCGTCTGCAAGGGTGTTGCCCAGGGGACTCCCAGATGAATTGATGTTTTTATCATCCTTGTGGGAAGCTTCTCTCATGTCCTCGCATGAGAAGCTAGAGCTGATAGAGGGAGCTCATCTGCCTCTCCCTGGATTTGAACCTGAGACCTTCAGTCCTGCAGGCACAGGGGTTTAACCCACTGCGCCACCGGGGGCTCCATCTGCCTTGATATTCTGGATTATATGTATGAAGGAGTGTGGTTAAAGCTTACTGCCACCTAATCTGTGAGGAAAGCTGGGCAACGATCAATATCGGCTTAGGAGCTATTTTATAAAGGGACTATTAATTACAGAAGGCTTTATTCATTTGATAGCGTAGCGTTTACTGTCCCTGGCTTGACTTTACTTCTTATGCAGGCTGTTTGCCTTGAGAGAAACTGTATCAGGCAAGGCTTGAGGAAAACAGTAACAAGTTTATTTTAACAGGAGTATAACATGTTTAACTGTTTCCTCACAAGAGGCACAAATCTTGATTGGTTACATTAGTAAGGTTTCATGAGTAATCTCAGGCACAGACTTCAAGAGGTTTCTATAAGCAGATGTAACTCTTCTGGACAACTGTCCTAATAAAACAAATAAGCTAAAAGGCTTATTAACAGAATTGGCTCCCAGCCAAACCTTGATTCTTAACTCAGTTTTATCAGTTTTATTCTTAACTGTAGTTTTATCACTACCAGGTCCTTTTCTGTAACCCCATTGGTCACCAATTAATTCCCTGAATCTCCACCCAGAGACTCAGTCTTCCCAGTAGCTCACCGGCTTACTGACTGACTTTCAAAACAGCTGCCCCGTGAAGAGGCAGTTGGCTCCGCCCCTGTTGCTATGGCAACCCAGCTAACGCCAAGCCACCATCTCCAACAAAATATATTCCTTCATACTTACCATTTATCAGCCACTGTCTAAACAACACATAAACATGAGAATAAAGTTACACATCGTCACAATATGGCTGTCTGAAAGGACCCAAAATTACAAGAATCCCGTTTTGTATTGAGTTTGGGAACCATAGCCTCATTGAAGATGACAAAGGCAGGAGTATCTGTGAACCAGGAAATGTGGGTCGGAAACCAACATTCTCTGTGTCCAATCCTCACCTTCTCTGCTTCTGGTAAGCAGTCCAGAAGAGCCGTTGTTGTTGAAGCCTCCTTCGCTTCCTGCCCCACAGCCCGATTGGACATGGCTTCCAGCACCACTTGGTAGAGTGGGTTGGTGATGAGAGGAGTGGGTAATTCACGCAAATAGTCTTTCAGGATCCCTGCAAAGATGGAAAGCAGAAAATGCCTCAGTTCTCTCTGAGATCACCAACTAGTCTCCCTGGCTCCCTGCTCAATCCTTAATGGAGAGGGCTCTTATCATACTAGTGCAGGGGTCCTCAAACTAAGGCCCGAGGGCCGGATACAGCCCTCCAAGGTCATTTACCCGGCCCTTGCTCAGGGTCAACCTAAGTCTGAAATGACTTGAAAGCACACAACAACAGCAGCAACAACAACAGCAATCTTATCTCATCAGCCAAAAGCAGGCCCACACTTCCCATTGAGATATTAATAAGTTTATATTTGTTAAAATTGTTCTTCATTTTAATTATTGTATTGTTTTTAAGGTTTTTTTGCACTACAA